TCCCTTGAGTTAAGAGTGTACTATCCACATAGCCCCTGCTTTGTGTTCTGTAGTGAGAGATGAGGGACCTTTGGAGAACGGGAAAATCTGTAATAATGGTGACCCCATGGAAAAAAATTGGCGATGGAGAACATCTGCAACAGTAGGGTTTGATGTCTTTCATCTTCCTACTTTCTCTTCTCTTCCTATTTAGCACATACAGAAATTTTGAAGGTGGGGTGATTGCAGACTATTTAGAATTAAAAACTTGAATAGGAAAATGGGCAATATTACCAAATTGGGTGCCATTGAGAGATGGAAATTTATTGTGTTGAGTGTTAGGATGTTAGGAGTGTTAAGTATGGGAAAACTTAACTGTCTATGAACATTTGCAATGTTGAAATACCCTAGGCATAGAGGCAGTGTGATTAGGAGGTAATGTGATTGTGAGGCTACAGGTGAGTAAACTAATAGTATTTATCTGGATTTGATGAGGTGAAATACAGTTCTAGATTCAGACACCTAAATTTAGGTGGGTGCATGGCAGAGCTTACATGAGAGGTATTTGAGCTCACCGTATCGTTGTATCTGTCAGTAGATGTTCTCAGTAATCTAGGTGGTCTCTAGGCTTCTGCTTAGCTCGCAAGAGGGACACGGACTCTGAGCTCATAGATATGGAGTCATACAAACTTGGATTCCATTCGCAATTAAGTATCTCCTCTGGTACATCACTTCTGACAAGCTGCATATTCAATCCTTCTCTTGTTTTGGTTGGTTTTAATTCCTCCATTGAAGGAGAACTATGGTAGTTTCTCTTCTTATAGAGGTCTGTGAGATTCATCAATGGACAGCTCTAAAGCTCTCTGAAAATAATAGAATATATTCAGGGAGAATTTAGGATGGATGTATGGAAGTTCTTTTTCATAGTAAAAATGTTCATCTTTCTTATTTTACTAGAGGATATAAGAAGAAACCTCTTTAAGAGTTTAAAAAAGGGATTGCACAATGTCTTTGTGCAAATGTAATAAGCATACATTCACAAGTACAGAGGCTGTATAATGAATTGGCACTCGTTCTGTGGTATTAATAAATATATAAAACTTAAAATATTAAAGAACCGTGAAATTCAGCTACATATTTTTAGTGCTACAGTAAATTACACTGCCTTTTTGGGGATGTGAAAGGGCAAAAGCCAGGTTTAGGGAACAGCTGTTGCTTTGAGTTTTTGCCAGTGGCTCAAATACTTGAAAACACAGCGTGTCTTCTGTAATAGCTGTGCTCCGCTGCTGTTTGGAAAGACTGTACATTGTGTTTGTCATCTTTCATGTTTGTTACTGTACGATTGCTTTCTACTTGATTTTTAATTTTTTTGAAATCTGACTTGCCAAGGCAATGTCAAACTTCTTACATGCGGTTTACCAGCTGTTGTCCAGTGGAAGGTGGTCTGAGCTGGCCTGGAGCTGTACTCCCACAGCCACAGGGAAAGCGTAGAAAGAAAAGCCAAAATGCTTTCATTATCTTTTTCTGTATCCTGCTTGCCTCTGCAGCAATAACTACTGGGATAAGTGCCTTTCAATTTTAAAACAAAATGCAGTTATGCAAGTTGTTCTGAGGGGACAAAAAAGAAGAAGAAAAAGGGAGGTGAGAATACTGAGGGAGCATGGCAATGTGAATTTTTAATGGACTGATCTAAGCTAATTCAAGATTCTGACGTCCCGTCTTTTCAGAACGTGTGTGGAAATCCAGTTAGGTTAGCAATGCTGTGGCTGATGTGCGTAGGGTTTGGAGAGCAGTGTCCATTTGTGCTCCAGAGTTCAGTCCAGCCAGATGTTGTGTCCGATCCATGTCCAATGAGGCACGCGTGGATTTAGTGAGATATTCAATGACATGTCACGCTCTTAGTTTTCTTCCTTCTCCTTTGACTCCTCCTCCCATTTTCTTGTTCTGATGATAATGTCTCATCCATTTACATATATATGTATATCTGCAGTATAGCGTCTTTCTAGATACTTCCTGTCTTGTGCCAGATGCAGCTGGTGGTTTAAAGCCAGCTGTGCTGGGTGTAGGTAGTTTAGTGTAGGGAGCAGAATTGGACCTGTTTATCCTGGCTGTATGGCATACTTAGGGTAAAATAAGTAAGAAAATGATCAACTGTGATTGGTCCCATCTTCTGAACTGATACATTTTCTGAAAATAATAACTTCTTTGCCTTATGTTTTCCATTTATTTGAGGATAGGAGCAAAGAGAAGTTGTTACTTAACCTCTGTGTTGTAAAACTAAGTATAATTTCCCAAGTGCCAATGTGTTTAGTACAGTGACAGAGCAGCACAGTGAGTACCTTGTCTAGTGATAAGCTGGGGCTGAAATGTGGCTCAAAAGAGATGGAAGACGAATGTGGCTGGGGGTGGAACTGCCCTTGTCAGCTCTTCTTTTCTCCTGCACCTGGTAACATACTGTCCCCCAGCCTGGTTGTGCTCGACGAAGCCCCTGTAGTTCAGAGGCTTATTTTGTCTTGATTTCTCATTTGACTTCCTGTTACACATATTTTGAAAATATTTTAGCCTCACTTCTCATGAATTTTCTTTAAGAAAGATTCAGTTCATCTAACTGAGTCGTCTTTGGTGAAGAAAAGGGTGGTAGTGCTTTAGTGGCAAGGACACATAGAAATGAGAGCTTTTTTAGTTACTAATGGGCCAGTAGCTGAATAGGTGTGTGTTTGATTCAGATAGCTGAAGGTTTTAAATTAGAAGAAACTTAGAATTGCAATTGCAGCCCTTTTTTTTTCCTGTTTTCACCCTCTGATCAGGAGCAGTTAATGCATTGCTTAATCTGTTGCATATATTTACTCATCAGTGTTCAGTTTACCTTTTGGAATTAAACTTCAGACTGAAATGAGGTGGATACATAATTTAAATCATGCATTCACAAATCAAACTTGCTTTTTCCCCCTGCACCCTCAGCACTGCTGTGTGTTTTATGCTGCTCTTTAAAGAAATGGGATGTCTTAAGTTGGTCACTCTCTCCCCTGGTACCTCTTGAATGCATTGGACCATTTCATGAAGAATTGATGAGAAAATGAAAAACTCAAACTGCAGTTGTATGTTTTCTTCGAATTAGCTTTTGTAGGTGAGGAAGAACGTAATGTGGAGACAGGACTTAAATTGGTGCTCCTGATGAAAGGCATTTTGATTATACTCAGTGAGGTAGGTGTTTCAAGAGGTAGCAGGCAATTAGCTGGGCAGTGTGTAGTCAGCTTCTGACAGCCCCAGTGCTTTGCCTGGGGAGATAGGGAGAAGTTGGTGAAACTGCAAAAGGTAAGAGGGGGGCAGCTCCGAGAATACCAGACACAAATCCATGGGTAACCAGGCTTTATCTGCTGGGCTTCTGGTCTTTCATGTAAGAATTTAAGATAGGTTAAAAAAAGTTCATAAAACTGATTGTGCTGAATGTTAATTAATACTTTAAAATACATCTGTAGGCAAATATAAAAACATAGAACAGAAACAAGAAGCTTTTTAGTCTAATATAAAATAAAAATTGTTTTTCTCTTACCTCTGATGTATTGTTTAAAGCTTAGCAAAGTCAACTGGCCTTCTGACATATTTAAATAAACTGTCTCATATTAATGAAGATATAAAATGTAATTAAAGACTACTGCTTAGAAGTCGTGAGCCTATTTCTTGGCCTATCTGAATTTGCTTTACAGTTAAATAATTTACTTTCTGTTAATTACTTAAAAGTTGTTAATTTTTTAGACGTGTTCTTCAGAAGAAAATAATTTAAACCTTCTGGGGAAGAAGTCATTGCAAAAATTACTATGCAACATTTGAACTGCAAAAAGGTCTTTGTAATTTACTAATGTGATTTTAATTAGAGAAATTCAAAGGCTACTTTATATTGCTTTTAGAGCAATAAAAAAGGGGTTTTCTGTTAAGTCTCTTCCAGATGAACTTATGCCCTTGGTAACACTGTAACTTCTCATTCCAGGAAGTTTTGGTGCCACATGATTTTTAAACAGAATAGTATTCATAAGCAGTGCATTGAATTGTCAGTGTTGAAAAAAGCTAATCACATTGACTTATAATTGTATTAATGACATTTTAAAGAACACTGCTTAAGAACTTTTTATATGATATGCTCTCATTTCCCTTTTGGGGGAGTTCTGTCCCACTTTGACATCCTTGCTCTCCAGGCTGCTCCCTGCAGAACAGTACTTTCTATGCCATTGTGTCCTTTTGTGATGCTTTAAGATCTCTTTTTGTATTTGTCTCTTCTGTTCTTCCAAGAAAACCAGTTCTGACAGCCTTGGTTTTTTCAGATTGTCTTCCTGTACCTGGCATGCTCCCAAAAGCTGTTCAATACCTGCTCTTAACCTCATTCAGGCTGTCATTCAGCATCATCTGTGGAAAACAACTTCACCCTCACATTGCAGCTTCTTTCCTTATTCTCACCCAGGCTATTTCTGTGAGCCCTTGCCCTCAGCTGTCAGATGAGTTTATCATTTCCACTGAAAACCTGTGGAAGCAGAGGTAGTGTCTGACATAGTTGGGGGGCTGTAACGCACAAAGTGTCCGCTGGTGGCCGGCTTGCCAAGGCAGCAAGCCAGCCTGCTCCAGACACTGATCTTTCCTGCCGCTCCTGGGGAGACTGCCAGTTTTTTAGAAATGCAAATGTGCACTAAATTCCAGTGACTGTGGTAGTGGAGCACAGGTCTGTGTAGACACTAAATGTCACAGTTTGTCTGAACGTGGTGTACGTTATCTACATGAACCGTATCCTCTGCTTATCAGCAGTGCTCTTGTCATGTTCTGACTTGAGTATGCGACTGCAGTGGAATTGTACAGTATCTTATGGCAGAAAGGCTGAAGCAAGTGCTTTAAAAGAAGAAAAGTGAAGTATATTCTGTAGAAAAAAAACCAAAAACAAACAACCTAAAAAAACCCTGAATGTGTGCTACTGAGATTCATGACTCTTCCTTTCATTGTTGTAACTATAATACATATTTTTCTGTATATTCCAGGTTGTGAGCCATGCCTTTGGTGAAAAGGAACATTGAACCGCGGCATCTCTGCCGAGGAGCTCTGCCAGAGGGGATTACCAGTGAACTGGAATGTGTAACGAATAGTACCCTTGCTGCTATCATACGCCAGCTAAGCAGCTTAAGTAAGTATTTGTAAGAATTTTTCTAAGATAAGAGAAATTGGTGTAAGAAACAAGACTAGCACTCAAGTTCTTCTTGGCTTTCAGTAGTACAAAATGAAGCCAGCAAACTCTTCGGCCTTGTGGCGTCAAACGACACATTTGATCGAAATTTTGGTTTGTCTTAATGTGCTAATATTTCTTAAGCCTCTTTTTGTATATGTGTGAGATCAATTCATATGAATGAAATCAAGCGCATACATCAAAAGAATGGCATTCACTGAACAAAATTGCGTCAGCTCCATATAGAGTAGCCCACACAGTACACGTGTCAGTTGACACCACAACTAGCAATTTCAGAAGCGTGTCTGGAGTGCTTGCAAGAATAATAATGTATCTTAAATGAATGAGAAAAGAGATTTCTTCAGAGAGTATTCAACAATCAGCAGCTGTTGTTTGTGCTGATAATGCTGGCCCTAGTAAAGAAATTACTGCTTTATCAGTTTCTTCATTTTGTAAATGGAAATGGTTTAAGAATGTAAGAAATTCTGGAGTTTAGGCTATGGGTCCCACTAAGTTGATTGTCCAGTTCTTGGTGTTAGGAAATAGCCTATGCTTAGGGAAGGGTACAAGAAACACAGCATGTTCCCCTTTCAAGTAGTCAGTGATTTAGGGGTTTTCTGAGCTGGAGGTCCATCTTAATCATCCTATGCAATGCGCATTTGTAAACCCATCGTCTGTGGGATTGCTTAGATGTATTCAAATAGGGATTGCACTTTTTTCTTGCCCAATGACCTCTGACAATGTCCTACAATAGAAATCAATCTTTTTCTTTCTTCTGATTCCTTCTGGTCCTTGAGTTATGAAAAATACTGAAAGGTAATTTCATCTCTTATTTCTGTAGTCATCTCTGATTTTATTAAATCTTTGTGTTCTCCTAGCGATATCTTTTCCAGGTTGGAGTGTCCTGATCTGTTAGCACTCTTTTTGGATAGAAACCACTTTGTGTTTCTGATCATTGTTATTTCTGCTTTGACTGTGTAAGTTAGAGTTTGTTGGGGTCTTTTTAAGGTAGAGCGTTGAGGACTTTTGTATCAAAATGGACTTTTTCTGTTTTTCATTAGTTCCCTAAGAATTTATAAAATTTTGATTGCTGCTAAACTCTGCATTGTCATTTTCAGAGAAGTTTCCAGGTGATTCTCTGATCTTGAGTAGTAGGTGCTGATTTATTGTTTAATGTAGTTTATAATTGACTTGTGTTTTTATTGTCATTGAGTTTCATTTACCATTTTATCATTTACCAGTTTATCAGTTGCTCAGTACTGACATTCCTAAGTTTCAGAAAATTGAGAAGAATGGCTAATGTTTCCTAATAACATTCAAGGGTATCTGGTAAGACCTCATTTTGGTATCATATAATGATTGGCAAAGTGTGGATAATACACTTTTCACTTGTCTGACCTGCTAGGAATGTCTGGCTTTCATTTCTCCAGATTTGTTCTTGGGGCTAGTCCGCCTGCTACATTGCGTATTCAAATCCTCTTATGGCTGTTGCTGAGGAGCTGGCTACTTACACAATCCACATCCTGCAATTTTTCCTTAGCAGATTTCTCAGGTCATCAGAAGTCTCTGTAGACATCCCTAAAGTACTTTATTAGTGTTAAGTTAAAGATCTATGTAAGTACATGTTGTGTCCTTTGTTTTAACAGATGAATATGTGGTACTTAACGAGTGAAGCCTACCACCAGGCTTGTCCTCAGCCTAAAATCTGTTATGTTTGCAGAGGGTTTTTTCTGCAGACAGCATTTGTTTTGCCTATGATTCAAGCCAACTGGGAGCAAGGACATGATAACAGAAAAACGCTGTACTGGAGCTGGCATAGTGTGTCCTGCTGACAGCATCAGAGCTTGCTGGTGTTCCCACAGCTTGAAGCACAGGGAGAGCAAGTACAGGTCTGTCTTGCAGTCATGCTGTTTTTTAACGTTCCACTGTTGAGGTCAGGGTGGATTTTAAAAACTGGCAGATCTGTGCTGTTGCATACAAATTTGGCTGGCTTCTGCCTCTGCTCTTTTCAGGAGACATCAACAAGTTCCTATCCAAAGGGAATGTGCTCTCAGTGGAGCCCTTTTCTATTATGTCTTCAGATTGGGGGTTTGTTTGCAGCCAGCTGGCTTAGAGCACAGGCAGAGTGAGCAGTGTTCTGGATGAAACTGCACTTTTATAGAAGGCAAAAGCTTGACTAAGGGGATTCACCTCCACTTGGGAGGAGAGAGTCTATGGGGGGAGGACTGGGAGCACTTGCAGCTGGTACCTGTAAGTGCCACAATGCTTTACGTGGTAAATACAGTCATGGAGCAACGGCTTTGCAGAAAGCTTCCGCAAAACGCTCCCTTACTTCTGGCAGTGAAGTTTGATTTGATGACAGCAGCACTTAAGCCAGTGAAAAAAAGCTGTTCTCTGCTACATGATCACTGTAGTTTTGTTCCTGAGTTTTTTTGTATGTGTATATATGGGGAAGAAATTATAAATTCCATCTGATTTTTTGTGAAGATGAAATATCAAAAAATGTGTATGTACCCCTTTGAGCTTTTCTTAACAAGTTCAGTCTGTACATTAACATACTCATTTGTGTTTCAGGTTGCATTACCACTTCTTAACTTGTGAGTCTTTAAATATTTTGTATTTTTATATCTTTGGCTTCTCCATTCACTCAGATATTGTGTGTCAGGCTGAAATCTTATTTCTACATGGGTATAAACCGTCTGTACACGGGTACAGAGCTACTTTCTTTGACCCACGTGCAAGTGATACCAAACATTTTTTGCTGTACAACATAAAATGAAGGAAGTGTGACTAGTGGTGACTTGAAAGACTTTTTCTTTCACACAGAGAGCAGTGTCCACTACTTTGCCTCCTACTGTTTTCTTGGGTAGATTGGCTCAGAGTTTCACTTCCTTGAATGCAGGCCTGAGTACACTGCCTCCAACTCTGTGTGATTCTGCTCTTTACCACTGCTAAATCAGATTGAATTGGAAAGTTAGCTTATTTGACATTGGCTCTCGTGCTGGAGATACTGTGGGGAGGCAGATAAGAATCGAGACTGGTCAGTAACAGCCTACCAATTTTGCTTATTTTAAACTAAAAAAGGGAAGGGGCAGGGAGAAGCATGATTCTATTCTAATTCTCCCAGTTATAAATGGGTGTGTGGAATCGCTGTTCTCTGCTCCATGTTCTGATAAAATGGTCATGTCCAGGGCGAATTCCAACTTACAAATCACCAGTTAGTTCTGTGGGATGCTCCAGTCCGTACCTAGGACCCTGAGGGGAGCACCGGTGCAGTGCTGGCTCCCTTTGGCGCAGCCCTAGTGGCATCTTTCTTCTGGTGTCTTTTTAGAGCTGACACCTGAATGATGCCAGGTGATGTCATTGTTTGCCTTCTCTCTTTGATAACGCGTGCTCATGGTCTGACAAAGTGTAGCCCTTTTAACGTACCGTAAACCTTCCCATTAACCTGAACATGTTCTTCCATGTACTTGTGCTGTGGAACAAGGAACACAAAGGAAAATTGTACTTTTTAGGCTCAAATGTGTGAAAGGAAACTAGCCAAAGTAATAAACACTGCTGAGTTTCTGTCTTCAGACAAGACAGCATCACTGTTGGGTTCCTCTTCTGTTGCAGGGCTGAGTGTTTTGATTGCTGACAAAAGATACCTTTGGGACAACATATTCAATATGGTAATGCACACCTTTGTTGTGCAGTGTGTGTAAATCAATTGTAATTAATTCAGGTGGTGTCTACTCTCTGCTAGAGGTGTTATAAAAGCTGATGTGGCAAGATGTCGTTTCATGTAATTACTGTAGAACTTGGATAGAGGTATTACAATTTCAATTATTTGTGAACTGCTGATCTCCAGAATGTCTTGCAATGCTTGGGAATTTATTTTGCAAGCAATCGAGTACACAGCTTTATGAAGATGACCTGTGGAAATGCTAGAAAGAGGCACTTCTGTTAAGTGACATTGAAACCTATAGAGTGGGGATTTGGTGAGGCAGCATCATGAGTAAATTTCGCCTCAACTGCTTGTGTAGTTGGAGGGAGCCTTAGAAGTAAAGACTGCATAATCCCTTTATGGTTTTTTAAAATGAATATTTAGGTCTTTTATATGTTGGGAGGAACCTCATGGTTTTTAAGTTACTCTCTTATGGTATCAAAATCTGCTCTTAAGTTGAAAGATAAATACTTGTGACTTTAGATGATAGTTTTGGGTTTTTTTTCCTGCTTGTTTCTGTGTTAAAAATCTAGTTAAAAAGTTGGCAATATAGAAAACACTAGAGAAGTATTACTTGATTTCTTAAACTTACAGAATCACATTAATCAGAATACTGTATTCCAATATTGCTTTACCATGTCACTGTTCTTCCTGACAGGAGATTGACAACCTGTCTTTCACTTGTTTTAGAGTTATGAGTGCTTAAAAGAAATGAAAACAGAATTCAATATTAAAAGAAATATGTGCTCACAAATCAACTCTATGACTTACCTTGCTTCCTGAAAGGTAACTGACAGGCACCCCTCTGCTTGACTTCTGGGAGTGATGTGTTTAGTCCTAGAATGTGGCAGTCCTCCCTCAGCAGGCTGGGCTCAACATGTTAACATAAACTAGCATCCATTAAAATAACTCGTATTTTGAGCTGTGAATACTGGTGGCTGAAGAATGTAATACCTGCTTCATTTATCTGAAAAGTAGAAAAGCTTATTTGTTCTATAGCTTGGAATAACCTCTTCATTTGCAGGAGCTAAATCAAGTGGGAATTATAATTGAATCTTGAGTAGCTGCTGTGGAGCACTCGGAGAACACTTCCAGTGTGAAGATGGCTGAACACTGGCATGGGTTGCCTGGAGGAGTTGTGGAGGCCTCCATCCTTGGGAGTATTCAAAACCCAACTGGACGCAGTCCTGGGCAGCCTGCTCTGCCTCACTGTGCTTTGAGCAGAGAGTTGGACTGGGTGACTTTCAGCCTCATCTGTTGCCATTGTGTGACTTCTGTTTTGGAGAGGGAGGGGGTTAGGCACAGGTAGGCAGCACACCTTGTCTATCCACCTTCCACATACATTCGAAGCAGAGCTTGGATACACCAAAATATCTAGCATTTTGGGTTAGTTATTGGCTTATCTTACGTTTAGTGAAGAAATTCTTGGTAAAGTCCTCCATTCCAAAGCAAGGCAATATTTTTTTTTCATTTGTAATTCATAAACAGTGCTTTCAGATATTGTGGTGGTGGTGGTGGTGGTGGTGTTCTCTTCCCCCCAAATAAATGATCTAAGAAAGGAGCAGATGCTGTTGGCTTCCCAAGTGTGGCTATTGTTTACTTTGAATTATGGTCTCCAGATGTTCACAGGATGGGATCTTGACTGAAATTTTTTTACACCTATACTTTTCTTTGTAAAATTTTGAGGTTGGTTGTAGGACCCAACTTAAAATGTCAACAGTTGCTGTTCTTTTGGAAATTACTGTCATTTAGGTGGTTAAAACATATTCCATATTGTTCCAACTATTAGACAAAGCTTCACTTTCCCCTTCTCCCTGATTTCTACTCTTCAGACTCATCTTGATACAGGTTATAAAAAGATGAGTTTAATTCAGAAGTAGGATTTGAAAATTTACTTTTGTTTAGAAAGCATGGTTAAATGCAGGACAGGATTTTGCTTTTTGCATGGAGAACAGATGGAAGTGGGTGCCTTGAGGGTTTTGGCTGCAGAGATTATGAAGGGGGAGATCCAGCAGTATCTGGGTAGGAGGGACTGAGGCACAAGCAGGTGGAGTACTGTCAGTTGGGTGAGCAGGAACAATGAATTTGGGTGGAATCTGAAATTTGTAGGGGAAGTTCTGGGGCAGGAGAAGTGCTAAATTGGGGATGTTGAACCAGAGGGGTTGAGAGGTTTGGACTGGGGCTGAAGGAGAGTCAAAGTGTGGGTGAGGATGCCTAGTGCTTTGGGAGGGGGGAGGTCTAGAAGAAGAATGGTCAGGCAAAAGGATCAGTGGACCAAGAGGGGTTGGGTTTATCATGTGGCACTCCTGTGCTCATACTTTTAATTACATCTAATGACTACAGGTTGCAAGGTTTTAGATTTCAAAACTTATTTCAGGAACTTTTATGGACAGCAGTAACTTTGGGCCTTTATTTTTGTCACCGAGGGTGATTTTAATGAGTTGTGTGTCAGTTGGCAGTAGTTCAGCTACATAAGGATTAAAATTTGAAAGTGTCTCTGTTCTTTAAGTAGAATACTGACGAGGATGTCCAGGAGAACAGACTTGAGGCAGCATCTTTGGTATCTTTTGAGATTTTTGTACAAAAATGTTGCTCAAATGTTGCTGAATAACAAAATAATATTATTATATAATTATAAAAAACCAACAAAATTATAAAAAAGGATTATAACTGTGCTGTTTTAATCCTACAGCTACTGTGTTTTATTAAAACTTCATGATATTGAAGCCATTTGACTTGTGTTTTTAAGCCTTTAGCAAAGGGGTTTTCCTGTCTGTTTTTCTACACAGGCAAACATGCTGAAGACATATTTGGCGAGTTGTTTAATGAGGCCAACAGCTTCTACATCAGAGCAAATTCCCTTCAAGACAGAATTGATCGCCTTGCTGTCAAAGTTACCCAGCTGGATTCAACGGTAGAAGAGGGTAGGTAATTGCATGAAAGAATTGAGCCAGAAGTGATGTTGACAAGACCACAATATTTAATTACACAACAGTGTCTGTCTTTTCAAAGTAATCTTGAACCGATGTTTCATCTTGTTTTCTCAGTAAGGCAAGCTGGGAAAAATCGTGTTAGCAGAGCAAGAAAAAATGTTCTGGAGTCATAAACTGTCTTCATTTTTGACTCAGTGTTACTTCAAGAAGGCCCTGTAGTAATGGAGCCATTAAGCTGCCTTTTTCACAGGGAAAACACTTAGTTTGTGTGTGTGATAGATGAGAAGTGAATAAATCTAGACCTGACTGGAAATAAGTCAGAATATTGGAAAAAGTTCGAGACAGTAGATCTGTTAGTTTATTTCAGGGTAGGGTAGTCACGAACTATAATGGTAACGTCTGTTCTGCAGTCATCTAAGGTCTTATGATACTCTTTACCTAAATGAGGCACTGTGTGTTTGCATCAACTAGGTGAGACTCTAGGGAGTTCTAGGGACTAGAAACACCATTTCCTTTAAGATGCTGTTACATCTCACTTGCTTATGTGTTTGGTCATTCACTTCATAAATACACAGTACAAACAAAGGATTTAAGTAACTTCATTACCTTACTTACTTGAAAGCACTTATTTGGGTAAGTAAAACATGTTTCTTTGTTTAGCTTTAAAAGCTGTAATGTGCATGTTTGCTTACATGTACAGTTATATGTCTGAGCCAGCCGCTGCATGTACTCCCTGTTTAGATAATTTCTGACATTTGTAAGAAGGTTTTACATTTTACTATCAGGACAGTGGTGTAATATTTACTCAGTGGTAGTTGATACTACTTGTGATATATTTAATAGTACTATTTATAAGTTTTTTAATATTATATTTAATATTTATATATGTACATCTTATATATTAAATATGACTATTAATGCCAATATTAAATGTTACTATTGATATTTAATAGTATAATATTTAGTCTTCCATTTTTAGGCTGCTGCTGTCTGGAAATTATTGTGTGTCTGACTTTTTTTTTCTGATTTCGGAGCATGTTAATTGGTAGAGTGCCACAGTTGATAGTTGCACCTTCCTTTTGCTGTCCCTAGAGGTCAAGAGCTATGTGAGAACATAAACTAAGCTATTGTGGGGTCACTATTCAGCTTAGTTTTTGAGGCATACTCTGGTGGTAATATGAGCAAGCTAGATGATATTCATACACTGTACTTGCTCCGTGCCGAGATGGATGATGTCAGTCTTCTTGACTTTTCAAATCCAACATTTTTGGAAACACAATCCTTATCAGAGGTTGTTTTTGCTTTTGCTTCCTATTTTTAAATGTTTCATTTGTATTATGCAATACCTCCTGACTGGCTTCCAGAGTTTGGAGAGTAATTAGAAGCAGCCTATTGGAAGGGGAAACTAGTGTATGGGCTGAGAATTTAATCAGTGTTTATTTTAAATTGATAGCAGGTATTGCTCTTGCATTGCTAATTGTCTTTTTACATTAATAAGCTGTGCAGACAATTATTTGACAATAAAAAGTATTTCTATAAGTACATGAGCAACAGAAAGAGAGGAGGAGAATCTCCATCCTTTATTGGATGCAGGAGAAAACGTAGTGGCAAAGAATGAGGAAAAGGCTGAGGTACTTAATGCTTTCTGTATTTTCCTGAAAATCTTGTAAATAGCTAGTATAAAACAGACTTTGTTTCAGATCTGTAATAAATGTATTTTTGCTTCTAACAGTATCATTACAGGATATCAACATGAAAAAAGCATTCAAGAGCTCAACAATTCAAGATCAGCAGGTAGTTTCAAAGAACAGCATTCCTAACCCGGTCGCTGATATTTATAATCAGAGTGACAAACCACCACCTCTGAATATTCTTTCACCTTATAGGTATGGAAATATTCATTGTTTAATATTCTTGTACTTTGCCCTTTATCTTCTAGATGTATGTAGAGAATAATTACAGCAGACGGGAAACTACTGGTTATTGAGATTTGTTTTTTGAGGGACTTCCCTGTTCATGGAAACAAAAATTGCTATTACCACACTTAAAATCATACGTTGTACCTGAAAAAAATCATCATATTTTGCCATATGATCATATGGCTTAAGTGCTATATGGCAGCATAGGATCAGAGAACAAGAGCCATTGATCTTGTAACAAGCAAAAAGAGAATTAATAGTATACTAAACTGCTTTCTTTGGTTCACTTATCCAGAAAGCTGGATTTGTTGCTTTAGCCTTCCCACGATTCTCCCTCTTGCCCCCAGCATATACACATGTACACACACACACACACACACACACACACAATCTGTACCATTTCTTGTCCTGGTTACTTACTGATGAGTAAAAGAGCAGCAAGTGGGACTTTCTTGCATGTTTTCTTTTGGTGTTTCCTTCAAGTTTATTGTTGTTCATGAAATTAGTGTAATTTATCTGTCTGAAGAGTTGTGGACAACATGTTTTCACTGCATCCTTCAACTTTTGAGAAATACTACATTGTGAGTTATGTCTGTAAAGCAGGCATTCAATCTGCAGTAAATTATCTGAATTTCTTTAGGAATGACATAGCAAAGCATTAGCAGTGTGTTTTATTTTTAAGAGCTTTTACTTGGAAGGCAAAATTATTTGATTTATAGCTGAAAGACACGGGTTTTTTTTCTGCTGCTGCAGACAGTAGTTTGATTTTTTTTTTTTTAATAGACATCCAGTTAGCAAGAGTTGTTATCGATCAGCTGTTCTGCACAGCTACATCCTAATACGTATCTGGATGACAGTGTTTATTGTTATACTCGTTTTATTAGGGATACTTTAGTGAAATTTGCTTAAATTATATTTCTTGGTCAGTCCTTTACATCTGCTGAATTTAAATTATTTGTATTTGCCTTGGAAAAGCTTAAACAAACTTCATTTTGTAGTCTGATGAAAGCTAGAGTAGGGGAAAAGTGGCCCTATTAGGATAGATGTTTGTAGTAAGGAGATCTAGCACCCAAAAAGAAAGGAGTTTATGACTTTATGAGCAGACAGTATACAAGACCTGCTCTCTGTACCCTGTTCCAGCAGTTGCAAGGTTTTTGTGTGCTGGATCTCCATTGCTCTTGATCTTACTGGTAGAAGTTAGTATTCAGCTGCCATCAACATTTACCCAGGAAGAAATTAGGACCCATAGCCAAAAGGACACCGGTTTAGCAAGTTAGCCTGGGATCACCATCATATGCCGTTTGGACCATCCTAGCTACCCTGTCATGTTGATTCCCCCTACATCCTCTTCCTTTCCAGGAATTTAGGATATTCGAAGATTCCCAATTACCAGGTCATGGAGTCAAATTAGAATTTGATAGCATAGACTTTTTTTATTGGTGTGACGACTTAGTCTGGGTGACCCTGGCTCCTGCTGCCAATTGGAGCTGGCTGGCCCAGGTCAGCTCTGTCTGAAATGCTCTTAGAATAATCTGGCAGGATTCAGTCTTTCAGTTGCCACCCCTTTCCTAGCCCTTTCCCTAGTTAGAAAAGTCCCAGTGAGAGCAGCGACTGTCTTGTGCTTCCTGTCGTAAGGTTAAAGGTGCTCAGACCTACTTTGTTTCTAAACTCAGATCTTAAGACCCATTTGGATTGAGCCAAATGCTCTTTTTCCAGTTCTTTTGAGACAGTTGAGTTCCACTTACTCTGCTCTGTCCCCTACGCATCCTGTCTTGGCACTAAGCTTTATGCAGCACCAGTGCATTTCCCTCCAGTGAGCCGTCTGGTGCTTGTCTCCTGCTGAGCTCTGATGAAGCATAGCCTGGGAGCATGGCTCCCAAAAACCTGTGGATTCCACCCCTTTTCCCCTGTAGTTCTTGGCATGAATCGAGTCAGTTGTGAGCTGTAACTGCCAAGAGTGGCCTTTAGTGCACTTGGCACACTGTCATCCTGTAATGCAAAACAGTGAAACTTGGATGATCGTCAAAGGTGAGTTTTGTTGGTTTTAAAGATACTAATTTATATCTTCTTGGCTTTTCTTCTACTTTATTTCCAGGGATGATAAGAAAGATGGATTGAAGTTCTATACTGATCCTTCCTATTTTTTTGATCTTTGGAAAGAGAAAATGTTGCAAGATACTGAAGATAAGAGAAAAGAAAAGAGGAGACAGAAGGTAAAAGCAGAAACATAATAGCAAATGAATGTATTACAATTTTGTGTACTGTTGTCCACGCATAAAAATTTCTAGGTCTATACCTCTTTATATGTGACTGTAGATTCAGTTGGTTCAGTTTTTATAGTTCATACTGTCTATTTTAAGAAGTTGGCAAATTGAATTTTAGGAGTACTGTAGTTATCTTCCAAGATAGTTGCTTTAATCCTTTGCCAGTATCTGCTTATTAGTACTCGGCAAAATGGCCCTGTTGTGCTTCAGGAAAAGACACTGATTTAGGATGGAGGCAGGAAAGGAGTTTGAATTACTGTTTCCTTTTTTTTTTTTAGTACAGCAACATCAACTCCTGTAGCACAGAATGAGCTTTTTTCAGAAATAAATATTTTGTTGGGTTTTTTAATTCCTGGATAGTAACTCTTCACTTTTCTACACCTATTACAAGTTAGTAAGATGATAAATTATTCTGTGGTTCAGCAACAAGAGTAGATTAATTTTAGGAGTAATATTCCTTTGTTTCCTTTACGTTTTAAACAAACAAAAAAAGGCTTTTTGATAGAAAAGTGTCTTCAGTCCTTCTGGAATATCTTCAGCAGTTCAATCAGAGATGTGTATTCTGATGCAATCAAGATTTTCTTAATGGATTTCTGTTTTGAATGAAGAAAGTAGTTGCTACTTCTGCAGCTTCTTTGCTGTCTTTTTTTTATCAAATCTGAGAACTTTAGGTGTTTTTGAAGATAATTCTGAAATAAAAGTGAAGAGGGAAAGTTTGAAGCAATCACTGCCTATCTTATCTGTCAAAAGGTGCCCTTTTAGATAGGTTCAGTGAGAGATAAGGGACAAAAATTAAGAGGAATCCAAACGATGCACAGACTGCTGAGAGGAAATAGAAGGAAGCTACTTAGTTTTCAGTACACATATGCATGTATCATATATACTAGCATACCTGTGTGTGTGTGTGTATATATATAAACAGGTATAATAATATATCAGAATATATATACACATAATGTCTAGCACGTGATTATACGTGGTAATATATATTTGTGTATATACATCATGTGTATAATATGTGTGGATATACATATGCTAATCTATATGGTACGGTACCTGCTTAGAATTCAAGTTGTAGGGCATGACTGGGAAGCTTTATGACTCTGTTATTATTTTTTGTTGTTGTTTGGTTGGTTTTTTTCACTATGTTAATTCCTTGTTCCTGTTGCTAGACAAAACTTCCTGTCTACAGCATTTTGGATCAAAACATGAAGACATGGTTTAACTAAAACGTTTTGTGAATTCATGTTTTTAAATGTATTAGAAGAAATAAATTAGGTCTTCCTGTTAAAAGTATGTCAAAAATGTTTTATACTTTGACAGGTGTCTCAGTATTGTAATGTTAAATAGAGTTGAAAAAGCTGAGTAAACATTTTCAGTAGAAGTTACTGTCTAATACAAAGTATTGGAAAATACTCACTTGGTTATTTGTATAATTGTATACAAATGCATATGTAAAATTATAATCCCACTATAGTCTCGGTATGATAAATCACAGAGCTGATTAAAAGACTGGAAATAATTAAAGCAGCTTTCGTTCTCTAGCTTAGTTGGGTTTTAAAATTTCATTCAGAAATTCTTTATGAAAAAATATATAGGGATAATTGCACCCTTTGGGTTTCTTCCTCCCACCTTTTTCCCTTCAGATTTAGATCTTTTCACTAGAGAGACTCTCAACTGCTAAATTTTTCATTCTGATTTAATATTAAAAAGGAAAAAATGAAAAAATACAAAAGCTTTAAAAAAAAGTTGTACATTTTTGGTGGATTTTAATTGTATTACTGCAGTCTACAAACCAGATGTGAAATATATTTGAGTCCAGCCATGTAGGACTATGGCCATACATCACAGAAATCCTCCTTGATAAGTTCTACCTGAAGTGCTATTTGACTTGATTAAATATGTAACAAGACCAACTAAGAAGAAAGCAGCATAGATTTGAGTTTGCATGGAAAGGTGTAACTTTGTGACAGGGAAAATATCAGGTTTTTATCTTTGGAAGAGCTGGTGTGCAAATGAGCTTTTTATCATCTGGAATCCTCAGAGCAGGAGGGTTTGGGGAGAGGGCTTGCAGGCACCACTGGTTCCAGAGGTTGCTTGACATTGGCGTTTTCTTTTGTTCCTGTGCTTATGATTCATTCCTTATGACCAGGAATTAATCCAGAGCATCTATAACAACTTGGTGGCTGAAGTTGTATTTTGAATCATCTAAGTGAGAATTCCTTAAGTAATTTGTACTCTGCAGAAGCACAAAATGCAAAAGTTGGCAAGAAGCTGTGCAGGTGAAGTAGATGTGTGTTGTTCAGAAAAATATAAACTAGACAGCCAAATGCAGTCCTCCTCAGCTGACCAAATACAGCTGGTTTTTAGCTGCAATTTTTCGGGTGGTCAGTGAGGCCTGAGAATACTCCTTGCACCAGAGAATCAGTTTTCCAGTATTATTGTCAGAATTTGCCTTAAATGCTTGAGCTGTTGCAGCAGAAGGCGGTTTGTGAGGAGTTTAATTTTCCTGCCTTCAAATATCCTATTCATTGTTTCTGTACTCAGTTTAACTTAAGAAATTGAACCTGGGCTTTCTCCAATTTGGCTCTTTCAGGTGAGCTTTTTCTCTGAAGAAAACTGTAGTTTTAATAGTTTAAGTTTGAAATCTGTGGTGTAGTCTCTGGTGGTGTTTTGTTGGGGATTAATTTTGTTTGTTGTTGTTGGGTTTTTTCACTGTAAAGCTTTAGTAGATCAGTGCCTAGGAGTTCAATGAAGTTAGCTTTGACTTTTGCATGTATCAGTAATATTCTGAACTGAGTGATCATAGTAGACTAGTTGTTAACCATTGGTTGACCAAAGGAAAATTGTTCTACGTAGCTTTTTTTCTGAGGAATGATTAGTTATTTTGAAAAGTAGAAATCTTTAAATTTGGAGGGCTTGTATTTCAAAAATCATTATTGATGACTCGTGGTTGGTAGGATCTTGTGAATTTGTGAAGTCAGGAAAATAATCTAGGCTCACACTTCCAGCTTTTTGAAAGTATTGCAAATACTTGCTGAAGCTACTTTCTGTTACTCGCTCTAATTCTTTATTAAGATGCTCAAAATACCATTTGCTAACTCTTGATGCAAACATCAGACTTAAAATTAACTTACCACTGTTTGAGGGCTCTCATATGTTTGTTGTGTTTGCTGAAATCCCATCCTGCCAGCAGCTGAACGATGGACCTGTTTTAACTTGCAGCATCCACTTGTCTGCCACAGCTTCTATTGCGCTTGGTTAAAGGAAGTAACTCTTAACATTGCTTAACTTTCCTAAGAAATATAGTTAACCGTAGTTCTTTTGAAAGGCGTCAGCTCCCTTAGAACTCCGTTGTCATTGCCCTAGGTACTGAAACTAGAGCTGTCACCATTGTTGAGGTATGAAAGTATTACTGGAACAACTTAAAACTACTCTAATAGTATATGTCAT